TTTTGTTGAAGTAACCACATCTTGTTAATGATCCATGAGATGTTAACCAACCATGAATAGGCTTTGCTTGCATAGAAACAAGTTTGCGAGACCAAGAGATTATGTACCTAGATAGGGACCAAGAGATAGCCAACTATTTTGCATACAATGGGATGAAACAGAGGGCACTGAGGAAGGCTTATCTGCCTTCCTCCAAAACGACCATCAGAAGGCAGWTAAYGACCACCTAGAAACAGCTGGCGCAAGCACATTCCGACTGAGCAACATCAACAACACACAGCGCAGACTCAACGGAACCTTTGGAAAAAACACCAAAGGCGGAACCTGGACTCAATATAAATAGCAAGACTTTGGGGACTTGGTGGGGGCCTGAGAATGATTACCTCCAGGCCGCCCCAGCGCTGTCACCCTTTGTATCCAGCTTACTTTAATAAAATGTAGATGAGAAATTGGCTCGCCTCATCTATGACAATTAGATGATGAAAGAGGGTCTCTAGAGGTCCCTTCCAACCTTAACTGTTCTGTGATAATTTGAGCGCTGCAGCTACATTCCATAAGGGGACCAAACACATTCCAATGTGCTTGCAGGCGTGGCTTCCAACAGAGGTCCTGCTGGGGGAGAACCATTGCTTCCTTGCTGTCTATATACCTGCATTTTCTTCTAAAGGAAACCAGAGCAGGAGAGGGTAAAAGGAGAAGATGTTGCTTCCCAACAGGTAACTGGCAGTGGCCAGGGGATATGTCTATCTTCAAGTGATATCTAGGAAATACTCTCAGATCCTCTAGTTTAGATATGTCCCATGACAACTCAAAATTCTGCATTGGAGCCTCTGAGGGAAAACTATTGCAGAAAGATTACTGTCCCCATACTGCACCTACAGTGAGAATGTTTCTCTAAAAAATATATCAGAGCAGCAGCCTAACTTAGCTCCATGTTGTGAACTTCCTCCATGCAGTTTCTTCTTGTCCAGCGACAAAAAAGAAATAAGCTTCACAGAACAAAATTAACATACACTTAAAAAAGCATGCACAAAGCTAGCATCAGTGCACCAAGCTATGCCAGATTTTATGAAGTATCCAAGAAGTTTCTCTATTGCATGTTATAGACAGTAATCCTTGCATATTTTACTCTTCTATTTAATCATACCAGAGTCAATATCTGAAGCTAATAAATATGTCAGGCCCTTCAAAATATTCCTTTTATATATACCTAAATTGTGTTGCTTCTAATGGTCTATTCTAAGTCACTAAACAAAGTCAGCACAGTGAATACCTGTTCTTTAATAGAAAGTGTTTCATGCTAATGCATCACTCCACTATTCGTGGTATATAGACTTCTCTTTCCAATTATATATCCATATTTTTTCACAATCAGCACAAAGAACAAAATAAGAAATAACATATGCTCTGTATGTGTTTTGACACTGATACCCTTTCTCTATAATAAAGGAGATATCCTTTCTCATTTTCTTATGGTGAAATTAAATGGATTTACACTTGGATGTGATCCAGATGGTTTGTTGTATTAATAAAAACATTAAAAAAGCAACAAAGAAATAATATCAGCAATGCATACATCAGCCAGGAAACACATTTAAAGGGAAGTAGTGTAGTGGATTTGGCAGGCCACTGCATTGAGTCTCAGGAAAAAAAAGTTATATTCTTAGTTCTGTCATTTAGTTTCTGATGACCTTCAGAGATATTTAGATTAAAAACTTGATCTAGGAGTCATTATTGGAAAATGTAATTAAATTGTGTCATGATTCTTGTTCAGAAGCAATTGTTATTTTTGCTTTCATCTCAGTTTCCAAAGAATATTAGTAAGGTTCACTGAAAACAACAAATTTTATTTCTTTTATTTCTTTTTTTATTTAATGCAATATATGTAGGAACAGAAGTGCTGACTAACCTCCTGAAGCATAGAATTTCCTTGTTTGTTACTTCTTCTCCTCCTTTATCTAATCGGTATTTGGAAAAAAATATCTAACTTTTATCCCTAAAAGAAACACTGTTTCTCTTCTATGCTTCCATAGTGACTGACTTATAAGAATGCTATTGCAATTAAGTCAGTAGCAAAATTTAGGTTTAGCAGACTAATACTCTCCTGAAGATTGTTTTGAAGAAGATTATTTTGGAGTGAAAGATAAAATGTTGTCAAAGCCTTTGAGTTCTCAGAAAATTGTAGAATATGTTTAAATATAAAATGAATTGAATCAGCTTCTGTTGTTTTATACAGTTATATCAATTAATGTTTGAAAGACTGTTTCCAAGCTTGACGATCAATGGCTTAATTGTCTTAAACATTTGTTTGAAGATTCTGTAACCTCAGCAAATGCTTTTCCTCTTGTGGGGCACTGTCCTTCACACTATTACTTCAGATCACAAAGAACAGCCACTGTGGAAAAAAGAGTAAATACTGTCCAATTCCCTGGGAATAAAATAGTGTTTCTAAAACCTGTATCAGCTCCTTCTAAAAGGCTTGAGGGCATTGGGAAAAGAAATGGGAGGAGGAGAAACTGCTTCAAGTGATACTTGAAGAAGAAGCAATCAGAACTAGCTAACAATCCAATATTTTATACTCTACTGAGTACTGGAGGATGCATTAGAAGATCTCTCTGTGTTCTTCTCTACTCCTTCAAATCAGTCAATTATAGGGTGCTTGTGAATTTTTTAGTTTATAGAGCAGGTCATCCATGGTCATCCATGAAATATCTTTTTTTTTTTTTTTCTTCCTCCATTCTCCCTCACTCAATAACCATCCAAGGAGGCAGGAAGCTGATTATTTGGCTATATTCTCTTTCTCTCTCTCTTTTAGCAGTGGACAGCAGACAAACTGATGAAGTACAGACTGAATGAGTGGACAGTGAAGTGCCTTGAAAACTGCTAAACTGCTGAGATCAAAGAGTTTTGATCATGGCATGAAGTCCATCCAGATACCAATAGTGTGCCCCAGGGGCTGAGGCTAGGTCCAATGCTGTTTGGGATCTTCGTTAATAACTTAGACCAAGGGATACAGGGCACCTACCAAGGGATACAGGGCACCTTCAGCACATTTGCAGATGAGAGAGAACTGGGAGGAATGGTTAACAGAGCAGATAGATATACTACCATTCAGAAGGGCCTTAGTTGGATGGAGAAATTGGATAGGGGAGCTGTTAATGCTCTTTCTGCTGCACAGATTTTTACCTGATCTGCATTTTTTCAGTTATATCAGAAGATAATGATTTATTTGCTAATATGTCCTGGAAGAAATATATTAAACAAACTATGTATCATGTTTAAAAGACCATATGAATTATGGCCACACATTCTTCTCTGGTATGAGGCTTATTTAGCGTTCCCTAAAATGCAGGTTTGGGGAATCTGCATTTTATATTGTGGCACCACAGAGTCCTGGTGCCTCTCACTGGGTGGACATGCAAAGCACAGCCCATCTGGTGCTTTGTTGCCGACCATGACAGAAAAGCTGCAACACTGCACGTCAATGGGGCAATATGGGCAGGAAAGCAGTTTCTTAAATTTCTCTGACTGCAGTTGTGTCACCCCTCCATGTGATCTGCCTGATACAAGAACTGCATGCAGTGGGTCAGGAAAATGTTTATATTTGTAATTGATTATGAAAGTGTTATGGATTTAGCATAGTTCTCATTCACTTGCCTAGACAAAACTAAGAGGTAAATTAGTGTAAGAGATGTGTCATCTCTGTATCACTGATCCCATGAATCACAGCACAAGAATACTTAGGTCAAAGCAGGCAAAGTGCCTTTCAAGCTACCATCAAAATAGATAACTCATTTTCATACAATTCTGTTGTTTAAAGGCATTTCTGTGACACTTAAAATTATAGTTTCTTTTATTTCTCACTGAGCAAAATCTACCTATGTTTCCTTCTTTATCTCTTTCCAATTGCCCATGAAGATTTCAGGTCTTCCATGATACAGGAATGGACAATGAAAGAAGGCTGTAGAGTGTAGTACACTACTGCTCCTGATACAATAAGGTTCAAAGAGCTAGTAATTTGCTGCAGGCTCTTGAGTTAGCCAGAACATTTTGACTATCATCTATTAAACAATAAATTCTGTTCTGTGTCAGATTTTCCACCAACAGGACAAAGCAAACTCCAGTATTCTTCCTTACTAATGCTGTAACATATCTATGAAAGCTGCTTGGATGAGAGATTGTTCTTACATCTGGAAGGGGGAAGTGAGGGAAACTAGTGTATTTTGCTCATACTAAGGGAACTCAAAACTTCAGGGAGAGGTTTTGAACAGAATAAGGTAATAAAAAATATGCTTCTAGAAACAGGTAAACTGTAATTGTTAAGTAAACAGTAGGATAAACAGTTTTGTTAGGAAAACAGTAATTTTACATATAGTTTCCGTAAGTCATCCATATTTGGAAACATGATGAGATGTTGGAAATAATATCCTAATATCTTTTTGTTAGATAGTATGTAATCCTAGTAAAGGATGAAATGAGACTTTTTTTTTCCTCCTGTATATGTTTATAAATTATGTCAAGTCTTTGGATAAATCCTAATTTTCTATGGGATAAGCAACTGTCAATGATATGGAAAAGATGACTATTTTATTTGTTTGTTCTTAGAACTGAAATAATGAAATAAGTGACTGCTCATCCTCAAAAATAGCACAGACCTGGATACCACAAACAGGTAAGCAGATACTTTATTACCATAAATACTGAGCAATTCATGTCCATAAATGTTTATAATTGGAGGACTTAGCTAGATATACAAGAACATAAGTGGATGTGTTTATTACTAATTCTTATCACTAGTTAAGGTTAAGGTTTTTTAATGCTTTTTTGTTTTTAAGAATTATAGTGGTAAAAAGATATTAAACCAGTTCTTGAATGGACACATCATGATTTGCCTTCCTCTTTTGAAAATTGCTTTATAGACATAACTAATTTCATATCTTAGTATCTAACATAATCCTCAACACGTGCAGCAGGAACATAACAATTGCAAGATGGAAAGGATGCGTGAGCTGCTTACTGAAGAGAGAGAGCATCTCATTGCCTTCTGCTTGCTAAGGTGGCTGGCCCCTCTGAGTCCTGTGTCACTGGGTTGCCAAGAGGACATGGCAGCCATGCTGAAGGAGGCCACTTCTCCACTAGTTTGTCTGTGGTTTTATTGCACTAGTCATTTTATTGCACTAGTCATCTGCTGGCAATGAGACAACAGGGGACTTAGCTGCCTTCCTACCCCTCTCAAAATTGTGAAGTTTCTGCTTTGATCCATCCTGACTGTTTTTAATATAGAGAGGATGGGGCCCTTGACGCTTGTCTGAATACTCTGCATCCTTTTTTATGAAAATCAATGGAAAGGAATTACTAAACCCCAGTCCTTCTTTTCAAAAGTCATATGATGAGACAGATTTATTTCCAGAGAAAGTATACGAGAAAATAAGGAGTTATTTAGTAAAGCCTAGAAGACAGGCAGACATATATAAGACAATGAGTGTATCTAAGAGCACAAGACAAAGAGAGTGTAAACATTTGTAAGCAGTGCTTAACTGGCCCCTATGCTTTGCCCACTACACTTTCTCAGTTTTATTGTGGCTACTGTATCTATAGAAAAGACTTTGTAAAGTTTCATCATATCCCTATGCCATTAGAGATAATAACAATAATCCCTAAGTCCCTCTATTATGTATTCTAGCTTAAGCTGAAAAAAAAATGAAGCAAAATTTGTTTCAGAGTAGATGTCAGAAACCAGTCACAGAAGTTGATTGTAGGCTCATAACTGGTCTACGATAAAGTACATTAAACCTCAGGAAAATCAGGAATATCCTATGCAAAGTCAAGAGCAAATAGAAACTGCTTAAATCTGTTTTATAATGACACATTGAGAGGATAGTCTGGATGGAAGGGTGGGAAATCTATGTTTTTAGGAAAACAGTTTCCTCAGCTGTGGAACCACCAAACTGAAGTGTTTTAACCTTGAAGCTGCTGCACGGTATACCTAAAGGGTACATATACATGTTTTAGATATCCTTTTGAAACAAGCACAAGGATATATATAATGCAGTTAATTAAATAACTAAACTATGCTGGTTCTGAAAATAAGATTTCATCTCCATTTCTTTTTCTTTTTGCAAATCTCCTGAAGTGGGAGTTGTGCTCCTTATGGCAATTCCTATCAAAGGAGGACACCTACCCGAAGATTTCCCAAGGTGCTTATAGTTCCTACAAAGTAAGTGAGTCTCTTATAAAAATTTAAAGTACTACCATTGATAGAAAACTGTGTTTGAGGGGTGTGTGCATGCATGCATCTTCCTTATGGTGTGTGTGAGGATATTTTGGCTTTTTTTAACTTTCAGCCTCAGACTATATGTACACATGACTACATATAGTTGATGTATAATGGAGTGTCTACAGTTATATGGCTAAAATAGCATGAAGTAGCACCTAGGGAGATCTAAGGCAATAAAAATATTTAGTCAGTGTGACTCAGCTCTGTCTGCATTGGTTTTGAGCACACCTCTTTGAGGTATTTGGACAAATAGTAGCTTATCGGCTCAAGTGTCTGGCTGCATACCCAGGAGAAGCCATGCAACAACATTGTGTGGCATCTCAGCAGCTCCCTTGCGCTTTGCAGGCCACAGCCAATGGAGGCAAGGCTGGATGGGACTGCACTGAAGGCCATAGCTAGCCTATGAACCATTAGTCTAAAAAACTAGAAAGGACAGAGCAGTGAAAAGGAGAGAATGAGCTATTTGAATCAGCTAGGAGGAAAAGAGGAGAAACAGATTTTAATTTGGTCTGTGTGAAAGCATAGGAGAGCAGCAGTATCCTGCTTGGTGGCACAACAAGACAGTGGGCATTGACACAGGGGTGGTATGGAACTTGTTAAGGTCGCTTAGACAAACATGAGCAGGAGTGTAATTGAACTAAAAAGACAACAGCAATGCAACAAGGAGAAATTAGGTTCCTCCAAACAGCATTCAGCTGCCAAATCTATACGGATATGCCCTCTCTCCTTTTTAGAATTATTTGTCTTTCCTCCTTTTCCCACTTAAAACCTGCTTTTGTGGCTCTTCCTATCATCTTATAGTACAAGTCTCTTGTTCTAGACAAGCAGAGAGAAAATTTCCACGAGGAAATGCATATTTTCCAAGTAATGCAATGTACAAGACTTCCTAGAGCCTGCAGATCTATCTTACTAGTAAATTCATCCTATGCGTTGAATAAGGTAGGAATTCTGTGCAAAAAAAAAATATATTAGACATGTAATCACTTTATCATAATGTATATGCATAAAGTGATGAGGAAGTTTGCCTGTGCATCCACGATCCCAGCATTCCTAACTCTCGAGAGCTTCCTGTGCCTATAGCAACACTTTCTAGTCTCTAAATGTCTTCAGAAATTGGAATCACAAAAGATAAGTCCCACCTTGTGGCATCATATGGTTCCAGTTTTCTCAAGGAAAACTTGGCTGAAATTTTCTCACATGTACAAACTTATGAACATGCTAGAACTTCATTCTATGCAATCACTGAAATTCAGGTACATGGAAACTGTAGAAAGACTTGGAAGTTCACAGTGTTCTTTATGGAAAAAAATACAGAAATGCATGATAATTTTATCTAATTATGATATTCCTTCAAAGTTTCAAGAAAAAATAAAGCCATCTCTAAGGGGGAAAACTCAGGCAGAAAATTAAGCAGTTTCTTTAAATATTCACTGAGAGATTATATTGTTAGAACTTCTATGGGATTTTTTTCAAAAAGTAGGAAAGAAGAACTGCTAGAAACAAAAGTCAATTATTCCAAGGCAATATCATATTCACTAGTAAATGAATACTTCACATACTAAGGGGTTTCAGACCCCGAGAAATAATCTTAAAAATATTAAACTATTATTTCAAAAATAGAAATAGTACAAAGAATGGACACAGAAATCATGGATGCTATTTGGCATTTATTAGGAGTCTTACAGGAAATAAAACTTGTTCTGGTTTTATGGAGCTGATCAAAATGAAAAATGCCATATGATTGCTATGACTTAGTCCTTCTAAAAACACAGACATTATAGACATGGACATAATAGACAATATAGACAGTGTAGACGTGGTTTGTAATGTAAATATGACTGAAGATTTTTTTTTTTCATGTGACCTACAAAGTACATGCAGTGATGATGTACCTGCATTCACATGTAGTACATGTACCTACAAGTGATGACTCTGTTTTCAAGCACAATTTTACCATGAAGGAAATGTTCTTGGAGAGTTTCAGATCACAGTACCATTGTTGCTACATTTCAGAACTCATAACTAAACCTACACTGTTTTTTTTCAATATTTTGAGCATCTTCAGTTGAAATTGTGCAAAATATCTGCAAGGATTTAGGGAACAAGCACTAAGCAATGAATCTAGATAAACTTGGAGTAATTAGACAGAAATGACAAGCTGACATAACCAGTCTGCTGGCATAACCTGATTCTGCTTCTTCAGTGGTCAGAGAAAAACATGGGAGGGAACTGCAGCCACTGATAAACCTGGCTAAAAAATGAAAGTATTACTCAGTGCTCAGCCTCTTTAAAAGATTCCTGTAGGGGTGTACTGCCACAGAGCTGTGTAGGAGATGTGTAATCTATTTCTGGTGGGAAGACAATGAGATGCTGGAAGTGGGTGCCGGAAAGCCAGCATTCTCTGGCAACAGAACAGAGTTAGAAATATTGGACCATAAGGCATCTCAGGGAATTATGTCATGCAGTTGATTTCAAAAACAAATCTAGTCCTATTTTAAGAGTACCACATTTACTTGAATATAAGGCAGCATGTACATTTCTTCATCTATTTTGGGAGAAAGAATGGTGAATTTAAATTCTCCCAGAATTTCTCCAGGCTTTTAAACCACTGTCCCATCTGATATGACAATGAAGATTTTTCCAGACTGATGCAGAGAGAAATCTTGGGCGAAGGGAAGAAGATGCCATTTACTCTCTTCCCATCTTCTCTCTACTTCATTTAAACACAGATCCTACCAGGGAAAATGATGGAGAAGTGATCCCACTCACTGAAAAAAGCATGTGTGTGGGGAGAGAGATTTGTGATTAGACAGGAGAAAAGAGGGCAGGGAAAAGGCATAGAAGAGTAGGAGGAAGGAATAGACACAGAATAACAATGATGTTCTAAAAGAACTGAGGGAAGAGCTAAGTGCTAGTTCCCTCATCTTCAAGGGGAATAAATACACTTGACTTCTTTAAGGACTGGGGAATTCATACTCATCTGTAACTAAACCAAATGGCAGCCCATGGAAGGGAACAGCAGCAGTACCCCCAGTGCACAGCCTTGGAGGCAGTGGTAGCTCCATCCCTCCAATTTCCTTCACCTCTCCCATGTGGAGCTGATGAGGATTGCTGCTAGAATCCTGTGATTACTCTTCAGTCATAGTTTCTTTTGCTCATAAAACTTATTTTGGAAGGCTGTTTTGTCCTAGCTTCCTAAAGATCAGAAACCATTGGATTGCCAAGAACAACTATTTACAGCAAGTTTACACCCATTTGTTCTTATGCCCTTTAATAGCTCTTTTGTTCCCTTGTTTGTATTGTTCCCACCCAAAATATTTAGAAAGCACAATAATATGTTGTTTCAGATTTTAGCATGATGGATCAAACAAGCCAATTTATAAATCCCTACTTGCAAATAACAGCTTCCAGGTTTCCTAAATATCCTTAAAGTTTCTCTCTGCTTTCGGTAAAAATACAGTTGCCTTTTTGGAAGGTACTGACTAGAATTGAACGATGGATTATAGATTAAATCTTCTTCCCATGGCTTTAGCCAGTGAAATGGGATTTTCCTGTCTCTTTTACCAGCACGTTTGCCATAGCATTATCATAACCATTGTGTGATATTTCAGATCTGCTTTTGCATGGAGAATGCAGAGGTACAGTGTAAAGTTAACCAAAATGCAGATCTTCATGGTGCTCCTTGTTTCTGCAGCAAGGAGTTCCAGTGCTGTTCCAGGACTCTGCCAGTGTCAGTACTCTGCAGGCCTGTAACTCAGAAGCACAGCCATCTGCTTTGTGCCATCTACAAGTATCCCACCAGGAGGTCCAACCCAGCTCCCTTTTCAGAGGTATTGACACTGCTGCCAATTTTACAGGTTTTGCCCCAGCTAGGGTGACTCTCTAGGGCATGAGTTTCAGAGCATCATTTGGCAGATCAGTCATTGTCTATGAATATATATACCAAGAATATGTCACCCTTAAGCTTCACCTCATCTTAAGCCATCAGTCTCTCTTGTTTGATGGTGACATTTCTTACCAGCTTTGCCAAGTCACGGGTGTTCACATGCTACTAATTTGCACGGAACTGTATGCTGTACAGCTCAAGACCACTTCCATCAGAGTGCTCCAGACAAACTAACAATTCTAAAAAGAAAAGTCCCCAAAACAGAAAGAAACAATTAAAGCTGAACTTATATCTGTCACTATTAAATGTCACCATGTTCGTATTACTTTGGTCTTCAAGTTGAGATGATTCTGTATTGTTTCTTATGTTAATAATGCTGTATGCCTTTGTCCATTATTTAATTGTATAGCTTGCTTTTATTTTACCTGCATATATGGTTCAACCCTAGCTCAAGGATGTCATTGATGTCACATGTTTGGAGAATGGCAAGATAAAGAAATGATTTCAAAAAACTTGGCAAGCTTAACCAAGGGCTTGATATTAGCTTAACCAAATCAATCTGGAAATGGGTCTAAATTTTAAAAGTGTATTGAGACAGAGCTTAAGACTTAGAGATGGCTCAGTTAGAACCGGAGGAACAGTAACACCAAATGTGGAAGGAGAAAAAGCAATTGTCTGGAGCTGCTATCCTTAATTGTAATGATGAAATCATAATTTTAAATAATGAATTAAGAGGGGAGAAAAAAAAAAAAGATTAACCATATGATTTGCCTGGAGGGATGCTTCTTGTATCCCTATAGCTCTGTTCCCCCACCCAGGATCTTAACTGGCCCAGTACTCATATTTCTTTACTTACAGAACATGAAATGTATATGCCATTTCACAAGTCAGTAAAGAGGTTGTTCGTACCTCACCCAGGGATGTTCTAGAGACTGACTGGCTTTTCTTTGCACTTGAATCTACTCACACCTCTGATCCTCATGTGAACATGCAAATCAAGCTTGTGTGTCTGGTTTTTTTTTTTGGGGGGGGGGTATATTTTATGTTTAGATTC